GTCATTTCATGCATTCATCCAGCCAGCCACCCATTTACTGTCATCTAGTCACGGGAGGTCAGAGGCCAGGCCACACGGGGCCTTGCAGGGCAAGATAATAAGCTTAAAGCTTGTCCGTGGATGTGGCTTGAGCAAGGGAGAGACTTAACCAGGCTTAGAGGAGCTGAGAGGAGGTGCAGTAAAGAAGGGACTGGAGAGACAGGCCTGCCCCAGGCCAGCCTGCTAGTGAGGACCACACACACTAGCGATGAAATAATACTACAAAACCACAGTTAGGGCACTTACAAGGGCCTGTCTTCACCCTTTCATCTGTCAGCTCACAGTTCTGTGACATGGGTCTAACATTATCCCCATTTAGTGGATGGAGAAACTGCACAGGGGGGGCCAAGTGACTCGTTCAACACAAACTAGGGGACCCAGGTTTGCTCCCACTCCTCTGCCCCCAAAACCCGATGGCCTGTCCAGCTCCCCTGGAGGCCCCAAGAACAGGAATCAGCTCTAGGAAGCTGGATTCAATGTCCCGGCCCAGCCTGAGCCTGCCCACCCCAGTCCCCCTAGCTGGCCATCAGGCCCCCTCGCCCCTCGCCTTCACCACACTTGGGTCTGGTTGCCGGCCGGGCCCTGACTTCCCTCCCCCACCCTTACTAGGGATTGAACCCAGGACACTCCACCACCGCGCCATCCCCAGCCTTACTAAGTTTCTAAGGCGAGATCCTCCTGCCTCAGCCTCCCAGGTCACTGAGATTACACACGTAATGGCTTAATTTCCATGTCTGGAGACAACCATGGCTGCAGGACAGAAAAGGAACTGCATGTCATATTGGGTGGCTGGCGGGGAGTGAGAGCAAAATCCCAGCTGAGGGGGTGACAGGAAGAGCACATGCGGGAGGTGGTGGGACCGCCACCAGGAGACAAGTTGCTCAGGTTCTGTGGCTATTTTAAAGGCAGAACTGCTGGAGCCAGGTATGGATTGCAAATTTTGGGGGGGAGCGAGGATTGAACCCAGGGCACTTAGCCACTGAGCCCCAGCCCCAGCCCAGCCCTTTTTATTTTTTGAGACAGGGTCACACTGAATTGCTGAGGCTGGCCTTGGACTTGCAATCTTCAGCCTCTGGGGCCTCTGGGGCCTCTGGGGCCGCAGGCCTGCACCCGCACCTGTGTTCTGTTTTTGCGTGTGTGGTGGGTTCTCGCACATTTGTGAATCATGCAACTGAAACCATGGTCGATTTTACAATATTTCCACCCAAAAGCAGCTCTGTCCCCACGGAGGCCACTCCCCTCCCCTCTGCCTTGCTTTCCTAGAGCTGCCTTGACAAAAAATCAGGACTTGGCGGCCCCCCAGCCCCACAGCTGGGGAGGACAAGTGAAGGGCCAGCTCCTCCCAGGGCTGCAGGGGCCTGCTCCCTGCCTCCCGGCTGGCTTCAGCACTGTGCTGGAGATCTTCGTCCTTCCCCTCGGTCCAGGGACCCACCCTAAGCACCCTGATGACCTTATGTCAACTTGATCACCTCTGTGAACCCTGACCCAAATAGTCACATTCCGAGGTTCTGGGGCTGAAGATGGCATCATGGGGTTGGGGGGAGTTTAATTCAGCCCCTAGGACCCCCATTCCTGTTATTCCAACTAAACTACACGAACAACGGCCGGGCACAGTGGCCACACTGTAATCCCAGTGGCTCAGGAGGCTGAGGCAGGAGGATCACAAATTCAAAGGCAGCCTCAGCAACTTAGTGAGGCCCTAAGCAACTCAGCGAGACCCTGTTCTCTAAATAAAATACAGAAAAGGGCTGGGGCTGGGGCTCAGTGGTTAGCACCCCTGGGTTCAATTCCTGGTACCAAAAAAAAAAAAATACCATGTCTGTCTGCCTGGTTTAAACGATAACAATCACGAAGATTAAGTGGCACCTGGGCACCCTCCATCTGCACCCCACACCCCAGAGTCCCCTGCCTCTGGCCTGGCACTCCACCCCGTCCTGGTCCTCAGGGGAATCATCTCTAGCTCTGGTTCTTCTTTTACCCCCAGATCCCATCCCCGAGCCGCGCACTGCTAATGCGCCCAGCTCAGCTGGCCCAGTGCTGACCCCACGCGCACAAGGCCAGGCCCAATCCCCGGCAGCACCGCAAAGAAAAGCAGAGAGAAGCCAAGAGAGCCGAGGGCAGCTGAGAGGAGTGGACGCCGGGCTGCAGGGGACTGGCTGTCCCCACAGGCCCTCCGCCCAGTCCAGCCCCCACTCTGCCTCCAGCCCCCACCCCTGCCTGCATCCCAGGCACTGAAGGGTTATCTGGAGCCCTTCTGGAGGACTTCCTGGGTCCCAGTGTGGGGGCCTGGCTGACACCCCCTGGCCAGAAGTTGTCCTCAGAGCTGCCGAAGGACAAGGACACAGAGACCATGAACATCCACCCATTTCTCAGGTGGGAGACTGAGGCCCACGAAGGGAGCCTGGAGATGGTGTCAGTGATTCTGGGACGGGGCCTCGTCTTTGTGTTGGGTGTGTGATGGCGCAGGCGTCCCTGGGTGTATGTCACACTGTGGAGCAGACTTAATATGCCGGTCAGCCTTAAATGGCTTAGTCGTTGCTTCTCAAACTTTACCACTGAGCTACTGCCCCAGCCCTTGCTTTCAGGACTTTTTTATTTTTCATATTATTTTATTTATTTATTTTTAATATCTTTTAGTTGTTGATGAGGTGCTGAGGATCGAACCCAGGGCCTCACTCATGATAGGCAAGCGCTCTGCCACAGAGCCACAACCCCAGCCCTATATTATTTTATTTTAATCATTTTTTTTGTACTAGTGATTGAAACCCCAGGGTGCTTGACCACTGAGCCACATCCCTGCCCTTTCTGTTTTTTAGTTTTAGACAGGGTCTTGCTAAGTTGCTTGGAGCCTCCCTAAGTTGCTGAGGCTGGCTTTGAACTTGTGATCCTCCTGCCTCAGCCTCCAGAGTGTCTGGAATTACAAGTGTGCATCACTGTGCCGGGCATTATTTTACATTTGATTTTTTTGGGGGGGCATACTGGGGAATGAACGAAGGGGCACTTAACCACTGAGCCACATCCCTGCCCTACTTTGTATTTTATTTAGAGACAGGGTCTCACGGACTTGCTGAGCACCTTGCTTTTGCTGAGGCTGGCTTTGAACTCGAGATCCTCCTGCCTCAGCCTCCTGAGCGGCTGAGTTTACAGGTGTAACACAGTCAGCTGTTTTACGTTTTTGCAAATCATTTTAGTGTCAAGCTTAAAGAAGATGGTTGGACTCCGAAGGCTGCTTCTGTGGCTGGTCTGTTGCAATATTCCATGCAACGCAGCCTTTGGGCAGCCACCAGATGCTTGAGGGACACTGAAGCAGAAAAAGCAGAAAATGTCTTCGTATGTATCTCTGGCAGATCTCTGAGAGGGGTTCTGTCCCCAGGTCACAGTGAGAACTGTTGGATGAAAATGATAACCCCACAGATGCAAGAGGGGAAAACCAGAATTCAATCATCCTCCTTTTACGAAGGACAAAAGGGAGGCCCAGACTGGTGGAGCCCTCAGCAGGAAGTGCAGCAGCAACCCCAGCAGCAGGACCCTAACCTCCACTAGAGCTGCGTGTGTCGGGAGCCATAAACCGCTGTACGGGGCACCTCTTGAGGCGGCCTTGTGCCTGCCCAGGCCTCACAGCCAAAGTAATGTCAAGAGACAGGAGCCAGCCAGGCCTGGCGGTGCACACCTGAAATCCCACAGGCTCGGGAGGCTGAGGCAGGAGGATCAGGAGTTCAAAGCCAGCCTCAGCAAAATCGAGGCATAAGAAACTCAGTGAGACCCTGTCTCTAAATGAAATACAAAATAGGGCCAGGGGTGGGGCTCAATGGTTGAGTGCCCCTGAGTTTAATCCCCCCATAGGGAAAAAGAGAGAGAGACGGGAGCCAGTGACCTGGGCCTGAGTCCCTCCCAGACACGTGTGAATATTGTTGGTTGAGAGATCATCATAACCAGGCTATTGAGCCTGTCTGTGCCTCAGTTTCTCTAGCTGTAAAATGGACCTATTAGGCCAGTGCAGACCTTGCTATAGAATAAAGGACCGCCAAAAATCGGCACCCCCTAATCGTTAACTATGACTGTGTTCGAGTGCTCTTCTGAGCCAGTGCGAAAACGCACACACTCTGCGCACACTCTCTGGGAACACCTGCCTGCCTCCCTCTCCTAGAGACCCCTGTTTTCCATCCCCAGGTTGGGATCTCACTCCAGAGGCCTTAAGTACCTGCAGACCTGCCTTCCAAGCAGGCAGCCGAGCACGCTGGGACCCGGGTCTGGAGGAGAGGAAGTCTGGGATGAGTGTAGGATCCCCTATCAGAGTTGGCAAGACCTGGCTTGGACACCTGGGTCCCTGTCGTCTGTTCCAGCGGCTACCACCCCTCAGTTCCCATTTACCACCTAACTGGCTCGGATGTCTCTGCAGTGGAACATGGAAGTAAGACCCCAGGTTCCTGGTCTCTGGAGTTCCTCAGGCACCCAAGTGCCAGTACCAGAGACCTATGGAAAGGGGTAGGTCTGGACGCCAAATCCTGGCCTTGTAAGGGGTGTGGGCTCCGGTACGAGGTCCCAGGCTTATCGGGGAAGGGTATGCTAGCACCCCAAAATTCTCAACTGGAAAGGGAGGGTCTCAAACGCCTGGATCTGTGTCCCTGGAGGGGACGTCTGAGTCTCCTATGGGGGGCTTGGGCGCAGGGTACTGTCCTTGTCCGAGGGGCTGTTGGAAGGCAGGATTATCTCGCAGGAGCTGGGGCACTTGACACCTTCAGAGCGTGGTGAATATGCGGGGACTCCGGGTTCCTCTCCAGGGCTGGAGACGCTCCGACTCCGAGGTTCTTACCCCTGATGTTGCTGTGAGGTGAGGCCGGGCTGCGGGACACCGAGGTGAGGACTCCCTACCAACCAAAGGCGCGAGTGCTAGCGGTGGGCTGGGCCGAGGGGTGGAGACGCGGTGGGCGGGGTCCCGACAGACCCCGCCCCCGCCCGGCGGCGCTGTCCGCGGTCTCCAAGTCTGCGAGGCCGCGGTGGGCGCCGAGAGCCAGGCGCCACAGCCCGCGGAGCCCCGTCGCCCCAGGGTCTATGGAGTGGCCCCTCTGCGCCGCCTGGCCGGCCTCACGCCGCGCCTGGAGTCTGCCCCGCGGCCAGGTAACCGGGTTGGTGTCCTCTGAGTTGGGGACGCCTGGAGGCTTGACCTGAAGGGAAGAGGAACTCCTGGGTCCTGGAGGAATATGGGGGTCGCAACTCTAGTGGGGGGCTAGAGGATCAAGACGACGCTGGGGACAGGGGTACACTGCTGTTTGCGTCCTGGGGAAATAGGAGATCAGGGAACCTAGACGCCAGGGTTGGGGGCGTCTGGACACCTGGCTGCGGAGGCTTTGGGGCGGCCTGGATCCTGCAGGAAAGGGGCGTCCTGGAGCCCAGTTCTGGAAGAAAAACCTTCTGGTTCTAGAGGATCCGGATACCAAGACACCTGGGCCCTGAGTATAGGTCCATCTGGGGGTGTCCCGGGGCCGAGGCTATGGTCACCGCATCGGGGGTTGGGTCTCGCACGCTGGGGTCTTCAGGGAGGAAGTTGAAATTGCGGAAATTTGGCGGTTCAGACACATGGCGCCACCCCCGAGGGACTGAGGGATCCCTGGGCAGCACATAGGGTGGGGCCCTTGGCCTCTGCCCCCTACCTCATTAGCCTAGCCTAGGAAACAGGCGCACCGCGGATCCGAGGAGGCCGACGTTGGGGATGGGTTTGGGGGCGGACCCCCGGGACCTAGGGCCAGGGGGCTGGAGCCCTGCGTGCCTGGGCCCCGCAAGGCGCCCGCCCCCAGCCCGGCTTGGGCATGCTTGGCACGCAGCGCGCGGGCCGGTCCGATCCGTATGCGCGCCGCGTGCGCCCATTGGTATGCGGGAGCCGGCCCGGCGCGGGCGTGAGGCGGGCGCGCTGGCGGGCGGCGCGGGGGAGGCGGCGGCGGGGCACGTCCTCACCCAGAGCACCAGCCAGGGGCAGGGCAGGGTAGGAGCTGCGGCTTCGGTCCCCGGGCCTCTAAGGAGGGGAAACTGAGGCACCATCCAGGCCAGCTTCAGGGACCCCGCAGGGACCTCAGTTTCCCTAAAGGTTTCCCCAGGGCACTGAGCGCCGCCTCTGACTCCTTCCCGCTGCAGGAGACGCGGGTCCCTGAGCCTGCCTGAAGCAGCCCCAGCGAGATGGCGGCCCCCTATCCCGGCAGTGGCGGCGGAAGCGAGGTCAAGTGCGGGGGAGGCCGTGGCGCCAGCGTCCCGTGGGACTTTCTGCCTGGGCTGATGGTCAAGGCCCCGCCTGGACCCTGGTGAGCTAAGCCCCGCCCCCTTGGTCATGGCCCCGCCCTCGGGGAGGGGCCCCGGGGAGAATTCACACTCGCTTTTGGGTTCGCGTCCCGGGGAGGATTCCTCCCGAGCTTTCTGCCCCGCCCCTGGGCTGGGATTCCTCGCCCCGACTGATTGAACGGTGGTTTGGTACCTGTCTGCCCTTCGGCCAGGATTCAGAACCAGTACTGTTAATCCCTCCCTTCTTCCTCCTCCCCCTAGAGGACGGGCTTACACCCAGGTCTGTCCCCACCTCCGGCCACGTATAGAATTTGCACTCAGGTCTGCCCCCATCGCCTGAGGGTTGAGTCCACTCCCAGTGTCCCTCCAGTTCCCGGGGCCCCAGGAGGCCGGGCTTGCCCCCGGCCCCTTTCCCTCGTGCCCCTGGGCCCAGCTGATGCCTCCTCCGGGCCGCCCACCCAGCCTGCAGGCGCAGCGCAAGGAGAAGTCCCGTAATGCGGCGCGCTCGCGGCGCGGGAAGGAAAACCTGGAGTTCTTCGAGCTGGCCAAGCTACTCCCGCTGCCCGGCGCCATCTCCAGCCAGCTGGACAAGGCGTCCATCGTGCGTCTCAGCGTCACCTACCTCCGCCTGCGACGCTTCGCGGCGCTGGGGGCGCCGCCCTGGGGCCTGCGGGCGGTGGGACCACCGGCCGGCCTCGGTGAGTGCGCATGCGCGGGGCGCCAGGGTTCTAGGGACCCAGAAACTGGGATCCCGGCCGCAGGAGATTGAGCCCTGGTCCAGCTCCAGGGGAGTCGGCCAAACCCTTTGTGTGCCCTATCACGTGGCTCCTGCTCTCCAAGCCTCAGTTTATTAATCTGTGAAATGGACACAGAAACTGTGGCGATTTCGTAAATTTTGGCCTAAGCCAGGACGCGGCAACACCGGGCATCGCCAGTAACAGCTGTTATTTTTATTAGGGGAGGTGAATCATTCTTATCCCAAAGAATCCCCATGTCTGATGGATGAGCCGCAGAGAACCCACTTTGGGTTCCCATCACTCGTGGGAGATACCGCGCCCAGACCTGCGGAGCCGCAGAGGGCATGCAAGGACGTTGGCGCCCGAATCCCGGGTTTGGGGGGCGTGAGGGAGACAGCTCAGCCAAGGGGGGACATGAGGCGGTTCAGGGAGATGTGCCTTGGTCTCTGGGCTGGCTCTGCCGCCCAACAGCTCTGTAGCCTTGGGCAGGTGGCCTCCCCTCCTGGTGCCTTGTTCATGAAATGGGACTCCAACCTCCAACCCTCCAACCTCCCCCAGAAGGCCGAGGAGCGGGCAGGTGGGTCTTGGCAAAGCCCCCCAGCAGGCCCGGCTCAGAGGGGCAGCGTGGGCGGATGCAGGTCAGGCTGCGGCGCTCTGGCCGGGAGCCTCCGCTGTTCCCAGCACTCAGGGTCCAGCATCAAAGTAGAGCAAAGTTCCCGCCCTGAAGCCACTCCGCCAAGACACAGAGAAATAAGCCACTACCTTCTAGAATCTGTAAGAACCTAGACTACGTGAAATACAGATGTATAACTAATTTTATTATCATTCAGACTTGACTATTGATGCCTAGAAGGGTTCTGTTCTTGTCATTACCACTTACATTTGATGCATCTCTGCTTTACTGTTATTAAAAGAAGACGGTGAAAGGTGTTAATCTGAGGTCGCAGGCAAAAGGCACAGGATGCACCAGGCTACCCCTGACCCCTGCCGCAGGAGAAGGGGGTGTTCTTAGGGTGGGGTTGCAGGGGCTCCAATTCCCCTCCTGCCCTGGTCCCAGAGGAGGAGGGGGGAGACAAAATAGCATTGATTAAGCTCGCAATAAATCACCATTTAAATTTAAATAATCCGGCTTCCCAGGCGGTAATTAGGCGAATTGACTGGCGCTGAGAGAATGCGGCATTAGCGCCGCTGATTACTGTCATTACCTCGAACAACATGTGCGCCGGCGGGGGATAAACATCTTGTCTATTGTCCCTGAGCTCCAGGGAGGGAAAGGGGGGCTGAGAGTGGGTCTGCAGTCCCCCCACTACCTGGATGGGCATTCCGAGGCCCAGAGGGCGCAGGGGTTCCCCGAGGTGACAACATGGGGTGACAGGCCACCTGTATGCCAGAGCCAGCTGGGGTTGGGCCAGCGTGTGTGGGCGCAGTACTCCTGGACTGCAGCCCCCAAGTTGGAAGATGAGGGACAGACGCCTGCAGCTGTAGGGTTCCCCCAACAGGGGGCTAAACACCTGCTCCTGTAGTTCAGGTGGGGAAACTGAGGATGTCTCGGCTGAAACCAGACAGCGGAGCCTGCTGTCGCCCCTGAAGGGGCCTCATGTCCTCGGTGGTCAGAGTGGCCGGTGACTGCCTGCCGGATGCTAAGCCAGGCGCTGCACACAGACAACAAGCTGAGCCCTCAGAAGCCATAGGGGGAGGTACTCCAGTGGCCCCAGGTCACAAAGAGGGCACACAGCAGGGACTGCAACATAGGGATGGCGCCTACCTTGCAGATCTCCTGGTGGGGGTATCTGTTACTCAGGGCCTCAGTCAGCCATCTGTAAAATGGGCCGGTGGATGTTAAAGTCCAGCCCCCAGGGTCAGTCTAGGAAGGAGAAGGCTCCGCCTCACATCAACACGCCCTCCTCTTTCAACAAACACCCACTGACCACCTTCCTGTGTCCCTGACTGCTGGCACCTGACCTCCACACCCTGCACACAGGGCCCTGCCCCACCTTCCCCCCTGGTCTCACTTCCATCTGGCACCTAGGAGGCTGCCTAGGGTCCTCTACCCAGATCCCCTTCCCTCAGAAGGCCAGCTTTTCAGGAAAGCCTTCCCCCACAGCCCATGTTAGCACCCCACGGTTCCCCCACACCCATCTTCCTTTCTGGTTTTACACCTTTCCCTGGCGCTCATTGTCACCTGACACAGGCTGCATGTGCTTATCTTGTTTATTGTGTGCCCTTTGTCTGCTGAGCTAGACTAGTGCTTGGGTTGCAGTGAGGGCTCAATACATTGTCACTGAGCAACAGTGGACCCAGGTGAGGTGATGTCTTAGATCACAGGTCAGGCACCACCTCTCTGAGGAAGTGACTTCCTGGAGGTTAGGGAGTAAGCTGTAAGGAAGAAGAGTGGTCTAGGCCTGGGGACACACAGCAAGTGCAAAGGTCCTGAGGCAGACCTTTTGGAAAGCAGTCACAGCCTTGAGACCTAGGGTTCTGGAGAGGAGCAAGTAAGGTGAGGGTGAACAGAGTGGCCAGTGGGGCCGTGTCATGGTCATGCAGGGCCTCCTGGTCATGGTGAGGATTTGATCACTACCCCAGTGACACAGGAGCCAGGAAGGAACCCAGGGCCCAGGGAGAGAAGCAGGGAACAGGTGGAAGGTGAGGCCTTGGGTGGGAGCTGGTCAGGGTGGGTGATAACCTCGGGTCCAGGCCACGGGCGTGAGGAAGAGGAGGGTCGGGTGGACCCCATGTTATGTGCCATGACACTGGTAAGAATCCGGCAGTGCAGGCACGGGGTGCACACCTGGAATCTCAGCGACTCCAGAGGCTGAGGTAGGAGGACTCCAAGTTCAAGGCCAGCCTCAGCCACTCAGTGAGATCCTGTCTCAGAACAAAACTTGCAAAGGGCTGGGGATGTGGCTCAGGGGTGGAGTAGCCCCGGGTGCAGTCCCCTGTACCAAAAAAAATGCGCCTGCGCCTGGCTGGTGCACAGACATCCACTCTATCACAGACGGAGCTGAGGGGACTACTGCAGAACAGGGTCCCTCCCCACAGTGCCCTGAGGTCAGCTCCAGGGAGCCGGGAGCCTGGATGATGCGGGGGTCCCTCCTCCAGGCTCCCCAGGGTAAAGAGTCCCAGGATAAAGTGTTGGCACTGGAAGCCAACCCCGGGCGGCCCTTCTCAGGGCAGCTGAAGCTCAGGGCCTTAGCCATGCAGGGGACACCTGCGAAGCCCGGCCTCCACTGCTCCCCTCTGCCCTTGGTCTCGCCTCGCCTACCCCTGGGTCCCGCCTGCACTTCTGCTCCCCTGTCCCCACCTCTGTCCCCTCTGTGTGTGTCTTGATGGCGCCTGGGGGCAGTCCCTGAGGAGAAACTTGTGCTAATACTTGTTAAGAGAGTGAGTGAGGTTGGGGGTCTGGATTTGAAGAGCCACCCGGTGAATTTGGGGACAGAGAAATGGGGCGTTTGAGGGAGGAGTCGGGAGGTGGCTGGGCTGAGGGGGTGGGGGCAGAGTGACCGTGAGCGTTAGTCAGTGATCAGAGCCGGCTCTGGGGTCCCTGTCGCAGGGGGTGGCCCGGGATGGGGACAGCAGGTCCCGAGCCCCCGCCCCCAGCCCGCCTGCCCGTCGATGCTGTTAATTGCAGCAGCTCAGTCTGACCCGGGCTGATCCTGGAGAGGGAAAATGAAGGAATTAGCAAAAATGACAGGGAAAATTGCGACAATTAGCAGGCCCGCATTGTTCCCGCCTGTCACCAGGATGGTGGGAGCTGCGTCTCGGGGAGGGTCTGCCGCCCCCCTCCCCAGTTATTGTTCCTGGATCTGCAGGGGGAGGAGGGAGGAGCAGCCAGTAGGATTGGGGCGCTGGGGGGAGGCTTGGCCAGACACTGGGGGCCAGGGCGGCCTGGGCGGTTGTCCTCGCCTGGCGTTTTGATGGCCTGGTCGTAACAACAGTAATCACACAATTAATGCGATGAATATGCACCCGCTCTGGGCCGGGCGGCTGGGGCTGTGGCCCTGGGGGAGACCCGCACCCCCAAACCCACCTGGCAAAGCAGGAAACTGGGGCTCAGAAAGGAGGAGGGGCTGGTCAGGGCAGGATGGCACTGGAAGCCAGCCTGGGGACTCTTGAGGAACTAAGTCCTCCCCAGAGTGCCTGCCTCTCCCTTAGGGGGTCAACTATGCAGGGTCAGGGTCACCCTGGGAATCTGGGTGGGGACAGTGTCCGGGCTCTGGTACCTCTGCCAACCTCCAGCACAAGACAAGGACTGGGGCCCCAGCTCCTGACCAAGGGAGGATGACGCCGGGGACCCTGTCACCACCCCTGGCTCCTTTGCCAGCTCTGTCTCTCCATTTCTCTCTCTCTCTCTCTCTCTCTCTCTCATCTTTTTACATCTCTCTGTCTCCCTCTCTCTTTGGATTTCTCTCTTGATTTAAGGACCTGTCCTTAGCTTTTTTTTTTTTAATGTGGTGCTGGGGATCGAACCCGGGGCCTTGTGCACGTGAGGCAAGTTCTCTACCAACGGAGCTAGAGCCCCAGCCCCTTACCTTATCTCCTTCTTAATGTCTCTGTCCTTATCTCATTTAAAAAAAAATAAGTTTATTGAGGTAAAATTTACCTACCATAAAATTAGCCATTGTGAAGGGAAGAGCCCAGTGGCCGCGAGTACAGTGGTCAGGATGCTCTGCAGCGGTCACCGTCGTCACCTCTGTTTGCAAACCGTCTCCATCACCCCAAAACAATCCCAGCCCCATCAAGCCCCTCCCCTTCCCCCAGTCCTGCAACCACTCACCGCTTCAGCCTCCATAGAGGCCGACTCTGGACGTCCCGGGCTGGAGTCCTGCCCACGTCCCTGTGTGTGCCTTCTTCCACTTCGCACTTTTCTCAAGGTTCGGCCACGTCACATCCGTCACCTGTCAGTTTCGCTCTGGCTGCGGAACCGTGCAGCATCGTGTGCTCACACCCATGCATGGACATTTGGGGGGTCCCCCCCTTGGACCAGGGGTGCTTTACCACTGAGCACATCCCCAGCCCTTTTTATTTTTTCATTTTGAAACAGGGTCTCGCTAAGTTCGTAAGGCTGGCCTCAAAACTTGCGGTCCTCCTGCCTCAGTCTCCTGAGTTGCAGGAATTACAGGCCTGCACTCCCCCGTACCCAGCTGTCACTGTGGTGTTTTGTTTTTGGTACCAGGGATTGAGCTCAGGGACACTCACCACTGAGCCCCATCCCCAGCCCTATTTTGTATTTTATTTAGAGACAGGGTCTCACTGAGTTGCTTAGTGCTGAGGCTGGCTTTGAACTCTGGATCCTCCTGCCTCAGCCTCCTGAGCCGCTGGGACTACAGGCATGGTGTGATTTGCATTTCCCTGACGACTAAGGACGTTGAACACCTTTTCAGAGCTTGTTAACCATCTGTACATCTTCCCTGGAGAAAAGCCTATTCAAGTCTTTTGCCCATTTTTGAACTGGGCTGTCGTGTTGCAATCCCCCGTTCCTTCCTGTTTCCCGGGGTCTCTCTCAGCTCGTCTCCCACCCGCCTCCTCACCCTTCAGTCCTCTGTTCAGATGTCCCCCACCTATTCTATTCTCCATGACATGGCCACAAATTATAGTTCTGTGCCTGTTAGTTTCTTGCTTTTCTTCATCTGCACCTGGCCTGGGAGCTCAGTGAGGGCGGGCTGGGCTGTCCCGGTCACCTGGTCACACCCCAGCACTGCCCACTGCAGGACCTGTGGCAGAGGTATTTAGTGAGCTTTGGGGGCGTTAGTGAGTGGGAACGAACGAATCCCTCTCTGCCCCCCATCTGTCTGTCTCAGTCACTGTATTTGTGACTCTTCCCCCGCCCCACCTCGGGTCTCTTCTCTACTGGGCCCTGGTCACTTGGGGGAATCGTGGGGGATTTCTAGCCTGGCTCCCTGGGGGCCTTCCCAGGCCAAGGTCAGCCAGACCAATAGGCCCTGGCCGCATCCTTCCCTCCGCCCAGCCTCAGGCCGCCGGGGCCCCGCGACGCTGGTCTCCGAGGTCTTCGAGCAGCACCTGGGAGGACACATCTTGCAGGTGAGGCCTCTTCCTAGCCTGTTGCTCCTCACTGCCACCTGGTGGCCACATCGGGGAACAGCACCCTTTCTGCCGCATCATCCCCTGGGGAGTGAATGCCGGGCTTCGCTGTTGCCTGCCCCTTTCGAGGGTCACCGAAGCCCACCACCCCCAGGCAGAGACCCAGATTTCAGAGCTTGCCTTCCCGCTTGCTGGCTGGAAATCCTCCCTACTCCTGCCTCCGTTTCTCCCCACTCTAGTCCCTGGACGGCTTTGTGTTCGCCTTGAACCAGGAAGGAAAATTCCTCTACATCTCAGAAACAGTTTCCATCTATCTGGGCCTCTCACAGGTAAGGACCACCAGGGGGCCACCATCTCCACCGCCTGGCCCGTGCTTGCTTTTGCTCTCTCCAGACCCCCACCCATAAAAGAAGTGGACTGAATCCACAGTCCCCAAAGTGTGCTCCTTGGAACCCCACGTGGCACCCCCCAGCTCATCTTCATGGTGGTGGTTGGGGGAAGAGTCATTAAAATAACAGGTCAATTTGAGGAAAGCAAATGAGCTGAAAGATCCGTTTGTCAGTAACTGGTTAGCCAGGTGCACAGTGTTTGCCAGCACATTCCTTCTTAATCATTTTACAGTTTGTAGCAATTCATGTTGGAAGGGTTTGAGGCTCCCCGGCCTTGGGGAGTGAGTATGTCCCCACTCCTGAACTGGGGATTGAACCGTGGGGCAATTTACCACTAAGCTACATTCTCAGTCCTCTTTGGGACAGGGCCAAGAGGCTGGCCTGGGACGTGTGACCCTCCTGCCTCAGCCTCCTGGCTCACAAGGATTACACAGGTGTACACCACCTTGCTGTTTTAGTTGATTGACTCTCATTATGTCCTTAACTCAACCTGCTGTTTCTGCCCCAGCTCCTGCAAAATAAAAGGAGGGCAGGGAGACTCGGAAGTCCCTGGCTCAGGAGCCCTGGCCTCTTGCAGCTTCTAGGCCTAGCCAGTCCATTCAATGCAAATTGCTGTCAACTTTTATCATTTCTACAAATCTGTTGGCAAATGGGAAATTGGGGAACTTCGGTTCATTGGCTAGCTGGTTTTTGTGCTCAGTTGGTCATCAAGTTGTTAGAAATTCCTGGAGTGGGAAGAGAAAGAAAAGGAATTTGGACAAGAGGAAGGGGACACACAGGAAGAGTGGAAGAAAGGCTTAAAAAGGGGGGGCAAAGCTGGGGGGATGGTTCAAGCCTATAATCCAGTGGCTCAGCAGGCTGAGGCAGAAGGATTGAGATGTCAAAGCCAGGCTCAGCCAAAGCAAGGCAGGCGCTAAGCAACTTAGTGAGACCCTGTCTCTAAATAAAATAGGGCTGGGGATGTGGCTCGGTGGTTGAGTGCCCCTGAGTTCACTCCCCAGTACCCCCGCAAAAAAGGGGGACTCAAAGCCAGGTGGTGCACGCCTGTAACCCCTGTGACTCAGTAGGCTGAGGCAAGAGGATTGCAAGTTCAAAGCCAGCCTCAGCAACTTAGCAAGACTTGGTCTCAAAATATAAAAAAGGACTGGGGATGTGACTCAGTGCTCCTGGGTTCAATCTCAGGTGCAAAAAAAAAAAAAAAAAGTGAGATCAGAGTCAATGAGGGGGAGCAGCAGTCCAGAGGGATGAGGACTAGTGGGAGGCCCGTGACCCCGGTAGAGGGGCGATGAATGGAGAGCTGTGGTCAATTAGCAATGTGGGGAGGGGGCTTGAGTGGGGACTGAAGGCCAGAGGTTCCTGAGGACTCGGGGCAGGAGTGCAGTGGAGAAGAGATGGGGGTCCGGGCTGGGGGCGGCGGGGAGAGAAGGACCCCTGCGAGAGATTTTGGAGGTCGACGTGAATGTAGAGGAGCTGCCTTGAGGGCTCTCACGCTTTCCAGGGCTGGGAAGCTACCCCAGCGCTCGCCTTCCGAGTTCCCCGCGATCCCCGCCGGTGCAGGCTGCCTGCTGTAGGGTGGGAGCGGAGAGGAGCTAGAAAACCGCGGCTGTGACAACCCGGTGTCAGCCCAGGGCCCCTTCTTCCTAGAGTGGTCAGAGTTAGAAAAACTTTATTAATCCCTGGGCACGACTCTCCCCTGGGAGGGCGCAGGAAGAACCTGTTTGTGGCCTCCATTAAACAGGTGAACGTTATTTCTGCTAAAAAGCCCAGGATTGGCACGGGGCACACTTGCGCGCGGGCCCCAGCCCTGGGGCGAGAGGCTGCGCGCGCACCTGACGCGCCCCTGCACTCCCCTCGGCCGCCGGCAGGTGGAGCTGACTGGCAGCAGCGTCTTCGACTACATCCACCCCGGGGACCACTCGGAGGTTCTGGAACAACTGGGGCTGCGGACCCCGACCCCCGGGCCCCCCACCCCGCCCTCCGTCTCGTCCTCTTCCTCCTCCTCCTCTTCCTCCTCGCTGGCGGATGCCCCGGAGATCGGTAATTCCAAGGACCCCCCAAAAGAAGGAAGCCCAGGTGAACCAGGGGGCGCCTGTTCTGCTCTGTCTCCTTTAAACGAAACCCACTCTCCCTCGAGTTGCGCAAAGCAAGTCTGTAGAACGAATCAGCCTGAGCGGTGAGGCTCGGCTCGCTAAAACTGCCAAACTCCCTAGAATGGCCAGGCTCCCCAAGATTTGAGTTTCAGAAAGACCTCTCTGCCTGCTGAATAAAGGTGGGAGTGACTTCGGAAAATAATCTGGCAGGCAGGCACGAGTAGGGGGACATTCGCATTGTGCCGTGCCTTTAAGTACATAATTGCATTGGATTCTAACTAAAAGCAGGAACTATTATCTCCATATTACACAGCAGAACACGGAGACACAGCACAGAGAGGTTAAGTTAATTGCCCCGGGTCACACAGCTATAAGTGATTGAATTGGACTCTAGCCCAGGCTTGTCTCTCTTTCCTCCAGTGGAAATTTCCATTCTTGTGGTGCAGAGAGAAAGTGTTGGAGATTAGATCCTGAAAGCTACTTTTAGCTCTAAAATGTTGGGGGCCTATGAAGTTAACTCTCCCATAAATTGGATTTTCCTATATTGGGTCTGCTTAACACCAAAAACACCTGGTACATCAGCAGGGACTGCCAGCTTGGGGGGGACGTCTATTACACACGAGGATGAAGTGTGGCTGTCTGCACCTGAACTTGAGGCACAGAGTACTTTATGTGAGCATTTTTGTAAGACCATATCAGGGCTCACAGGATAATCTGGATTTGTGAGTTTCATTAGTTGCTATTCCCGAGCCTCCCTCTGTGCCAGGTCCTATGCTGGGGACACAGTAGGGACAGTTCCATCCTCCTGGAGTTCACAGTCCAGTGGGGAAGACTGACCTGGTCCTGACAGACTGACAGTTGAAACTGGACAGAGCCCAGATAGGGGACCCCAGAAGGAACAGCTGGCCCAGCCTGGGGATCAGAGAGGGGCTTCCTGGAGGAGATGTGTGAGCCGAGACCTGGAGGGAGAGACTGCAGGACCCTGGGGAGCTGTGGTGGTTAGAGCAGGAGGGACAGGGTCTGATGGGAGCTTGAAGACCCGCCTGGCTGCAGCAGAGGGGAGATGGGCAGGTGGCAGCGAGCTGCATGATCAGGTGTACTCTGAGCCTATCAGGGTCCCGGGTCTCGCTGGCTCTGCGGTGGGTGGGGCTGTGTGACCTCTCGAGGACCCCCTAACTGCCCTGCTGTCCTCCCCAGAGACCAGCCCTGCGGAGGGGCCCGCCTCCTCCCGGGTGCAGGAGCGCTCCTTCTTCATCCGCATGAAATCCACCCTCACCAAGCGGGGGCTGCACGTCAAGGCCTCGGGGTACAAGGTGGGTGTGGGCATCTGGTCCCAGCCTCTGAGGCACATCCTGTGGTCTGGGGCAGAGCTTGTGCATCCCTGCCAGCGATGTCCCTGGTGCGAGGGTGACCCAGGGAACCCTGGTGGAGGCTTCTCTAGCTATAGATGGTTTAGGGAACCAGGTCTAGGATCTGGGGGCCCCTTCGTTCCCTCCGTGCCCCAGGGCCTCTGGGTGACAGGTGGAACCTGGTGGGATGGCCTGGTTATGGTCTTCCTGCCACTGGCCTTGCCCCGCCCCGACCATGCCCACTATCCACTGGTACCGCCTTGCTTGTCCCCAACTACACCCACCACCAGCAGGTCATCCACGTGACAGGGCGCCTACGGGCCCGGGCGTTGGGCCTGGTGGCTCTGGGTCACACCTTGCCCCCAGCCCCACTGGCTGAGCTGCCTCTGCATGGACACATGATCGTCTTCCGCCTCAGCCTGGGTCTCACCATCCTTGCTTGTGAGAGCAGGTACCGGGGTCGGGGACTGGGGCGCGTGGATGGGGCGCACAGGAGAACTGGGGTTCTGTGGAAGTCAAAGGGACTGCTGGGTCTGCAGACTGGGGCATCGGGGACCCTCAGGAGGAGGAAGAGCAGCCGAGGGGCAGGGTGACAGGCAGAAGGGACCCTCCCTTCCCCCGTCGGCCTGGGAGGGACCCTTCGGGCTGGGGGAGGGCGGGGCCAACGGAGCTCCGCCCCTCCCCAGCCCTTTCCTCTGGGGCCTCTCCTCCCTCCACTCCTGCACTGGGCGGTGGGGAAGATTCACAGTGAAACAGTCCCCGTGCTGAGAGCACCATCAAAGCCCTGCTCTGCCACATGCTCGCAGCCACCCTGCGAGGGACACTGTTATTATCATGCCCACTTCACAGCTGAACAGAAGCCCGGAGCCCTCAGGGCAAGGGCTTGGACCCCGGGTCACTCTGGAGCCAACTCTGTCTCCCCCCACACCATGGTCTTGGACTCCTCCCCTCTTCTGTCATCCCAGAGTCAGCGACCATATGGACCTGGGGCCCTCAGAGCTTGTGGGCCGCAGCTGCTACCAGTTTGTCCATGGACAGGATGCAACCAGGATCCGCCAAAGCCACCTGGACCGTGAGACACACCACAGACCCCCCCTCCCAACACAAACCAGACCTGAGTACCCTCACTGTTCCCTGAAGTCCTCCTTCAGGGCTGGCCACGGTGCCTCCTGCTGCACCCGTGGTTCCAAGGGCTCAATTTGTCACACGAAGAGGGCAGCAGGAGACTCAGCAAGGACTCAGGGTGTGGGCGGAGGGCTAAAGGGGCTGTGGGGTCTCTGACCCACCCTTGAAACGCAGCAGGCTTCGTACTGGGCCACCTCTGGGGCTCTGACTCTGGCTCTCTGTCTCCCTGTCTCTGCTGCTCTTTCCCTCTCTGCCCCCTCCTCCTGTCCACCATTTCTGACCCCCTCCCCCTCCCCACCCTGCCCTGTCCCTTGGGTCTCTTCTGACTCTGGGCTGGGTCCAGTGCTGGACAAGGGCCAGGTGATGACCGGTTACTACCGTTGGCTGCAGCGTGCTGGGGGCTTCGTGTGGCTGCAGTCTGTGGCCACCGTGGCTGGCAGCGGGAAGAGCCCTGGGGAGCATCACGTGCTCTGGGTCAGCCATGTGCTCAGGTGAGAGCTGCTGCCCCTCCTGTGGGCACAGAGCCCAGCCCCCGAGAACTCCTCCCAAGGATTCTGCCACCTGTCCGCAGCTCGGGTGGGGGTCTTCAGGGAGAGCCTCGGGAACAGGACAAGCCCTGAGGGGTCTGAAAACCTGAAGGGGAAAGGAGACCATGAGAGGGAGGGCCTGGAGGGGACGGCCTCACTGGCAGGACACAGAGAAGAGTTGGGAGGGAGGGACAGGTTCATGGTGGCTTCTGGTCAATTTCAGGCTTGAGGGCCTGAAATTGCCTCTGGGCACTGGGAAGCCATAGTAGGCTCCTACCAGGGGAGGGCCACAGAGTAGACGGACTCATGGAAAATGAATGCGAAAGGCAGAGGAGAGAAAGCTATTGCCATCAGAGGCCCAGCAGAAACAGAGGCTCAGGGCCACAGGAAGTAGGGGCATGGCTTGGGGCATGGTGTATAAAGTCATGAAAGAAAAGGCTGAGGATGACTAGAGGCCTTTCATATGGGGCACTGGGGAGCCATAGGAGGCTTTAGATCTGAGGAGGGTCATAGTCAAATCTGCTTTTGGGGAAAAACTCTCTTGCTACTGTGAAGAAACAAAACGGGTGCTGGGGGACCAAAGGAGGCTGGGGCAGGTTTGGAAAATGCCAGACTCTAAGGCTGGAGAAGGGAGAGAAATCAGTCTTCTGCTCAGATTTGGGCTCTGGAGGGGAGCCGCAGGTCTGGAAGGGAGATGCTGAGATCACATGAGCACAGGGTGCCCAGGGGCACCCAGACAGTAACAGCAGGAGCACAGGGTGCCCAGGGGCACCTGACAGTACCAGCAGGCTGGCCAATGGCTGTATGGATCTGTGTGGTTGGGCTAGAAGCCAACTTGGAGTTTGGGGGTCTGGAGAAGAGTCCTTTCAGTACTTTGGGGTGGAGGCTCCATATTCCCTGGTGCGGTCACCTGCACTCACAGTGTAAGGGGGGACTTCACTTACTGCTGCAGGTGGTGTGGGGCAGGAGGGCACCTTCCCTTGCCAGAGGCTGGGCAGCCAGGGACCCCTGGCTCCCAATGCCATCCTCTTGTCCCCAGCCAAGCGGAGTGTGGCCAAACACCTCTGGATGCCTTCCAGCTTCCAGCCAGTGTGCCCTGTGAGGACACATCCAGCCCAGGGCCAGAGCACACAGGTAAGCCCCTCAGGATTGCTGAGTCCTGCAGTACCCAGTCTGGAAGCCACATGTGGCTATTAGCATTAAAATTAAAAATCCACTGGCACATGCTTGTAATCCAGCAACTAACCAGGCAGAAGGATCCCAAGTTTGAAGCCAGCCTCAGCAACTTAGCGATGCCCTAAGCAACTAACGAGGCCCTGTCTCAAAAGAAAAAGGGTTGGAGACAGGGCTCAGTGGTTAAGAGTCCCTGGGTTCAATCCCTGCTACCAAAAAAGAATAAAAGAAAGAAAAAGGAATCCACATCTTGATCATACTCACCACATGGGACAGTGCAGATCTAAAACATTTCCAGTAAGTGGAACGTTGTATTCTGGAAAGTTCCATGGATCGGCACAGGTCTAGATTGGGACTTCTCAACCTCAGCTCTACTGCTGTTTTCGAGCTGGACGGTCCTTTGCTGTCCTCTGCATTGGAGGATGTTTAGCAGCACTTCTGGCCTCTGCCCACTACATGCAGTGGCCCCCCTCCCAGTGTGACAACCTCAGCAAGTGTTCCCTAGCTGAGAAGGGCGGGGCGAGCCCCCAGCCCACGTGGGAAGGCTGAGGGCTTCAGAATCGGCCCCTTCCAGAGCGGGAGCCCCCGGTGGAGAGGAAGCAGGTCGTCCCCGCCGACAAGGACGAGGCCCCGCAGACGCGCGGCAAACGCATCAAGGTGGAACCGGCTCCCAGGGAAAGGCAAGCCCGCGAGGACAGTGGGGACGAGGAGCCCTCGGAACGACCGGCCCCACCGCGACGGGAGTTCACGTCTGTCATCCGGGCCGGGGCGCTGAAGCAGGATCCGGTGCGGCCGTGGGGCCTGGCGCCGCCCGGGGACCCCCCACCCTCCCTGCTCCACGCAGGCTTCCTGCCGCCCGTGGTGCGGAGCCTGTGCACGCCCGGCGCCATCCGCTACGGCCCCGCTGAGCTGGGCCTCGTGTACCCGCACCTGCCGCGGCTGGGCCCCGGCCCCGCGCTCCCGGAGGCCTTCTACCCCAGCCTGGGCCTGCCCTACCCCGGGCCTCCGGGCACCAGGGTGTCGCGGAAGGGGGACTGAGGACCGCGGGGCAGTGGACCTGGGGAGGGCGTGGCGGGGCCAAGCTGTCAGCCCTCTTGAGAATTAAACGCCCGCCGGGCGGGGCTGGGCACTGGCTCCACCTCCACCTCCATCTCCTCTCCTGGATGAGCTCCACCTGCCTGCCCCGCCGCCCCCACTGCCCTCCTCCCTCGGCCCCACCTCCTCCAGGCCCAGCCTTCCCCAAGCAACAGGAACCACCACTCTGGAGCGAGGGAAGGGTCAGGTTTTAATGTCCCAGTCCTGGGGCCCGGCCGCCCAGCACCAGCCGGTGGGCACAGCCTTGCTTACTCGGGCGGTGGCCGGCCTGCTTCATCTGGGCCTTCGGCGCTGGCCGCCCCATCGTCCTCGGGTACCAGTTCCACATCAAGCTCTAGCTGGCCCATGTAGAGGCCCACGGCACAAGCCCAGAGCAGACTAGCGGCCAGCACGGCCCCAACGCCCGCCGCCGCGCCCCCCAGAGAGAGCTGCATGGGTCCCCGCAGCGACGCCAGGCCCACAGCATAGGAGGCGCCGCCCCACACTACACACAGGCCGCCCAGCAGGAAGAAGCCTGTGGAAGACAAGACCATGGTCAATGGAGGGCAGGGCCTGGAGCACCAGCCTGGTGCTGCCCCCTTGAGGGGCTGGGGGAGATCAGGGACAGAGGCTGGGCTAGGAAGGGACTGGAGCAAACCCAAGGGTGGATTAGGGGGCTGGAGCAGTTCAGGGCGAGGACCAAGGTGGCTGCGCATAAACGGGAATCAGGGTGTCCATGGTTGGAAGTGGAGTCCAGGAGAGTGAGGGCTGGTCTGGGAGCAAAGAGAATGCTGGAGGGGCAGAGGCAAGGCCATGCAGGAGGGCTGGACAAAGGCCCTTCATCTCTAAGAAATCAGATTGGAAGAGGAAGCCCCATAGCCATGCCCTGGGCCACCACTTGAGGGATCTGTGCCCATGAATAGGGGTGGGTGGGAGGCCCACACTCACCAGTGCATCCGTGGAAGAGAGGCTCTACACTTATAATTGGGGGAGGGGCAGGAGGGAGTCCATGTTGAGAGGGAGCACCCTCACTCCCTTGAGAGTGAGAGCAGGGGTCTACACTCACCATAGGCTGCTTCCCGACCCATGTCACTCTGCATGAAGGAGATGACCCCAATGCCAGATGCCAGAAGGCCATTGCGGAACCAGGAGAGGAAGGCTGGAGAGAGGGGGAGATGGAAGCTCAATGTCAGCCCAACCTAACTCCCACCCCCCACCCCCACCCAGAGAGTCAAACCCTGGGCCTTCCCCTCATCCCACTTCCACCCCATCCAGCCCTCCACCAAACCCTGTCACCTCAATCTCTCACCCCATCACTGAGCCCCTCTCCCCCAAACTCTGCAACACCCGAGATTCAAGACAGTCTGCAGAACCTGGAGGGCAATTTAGAGCCCAAAGTGAAGAATCTCCATCTGAAGGCAGGAAAACCCCAAAAGGTGGTCCTGGTCACCCTCCTGCCCACATGGTATCTCCATGACCCTCCCTCTCACTTCTTTCTCAGACACCTGGAATAGGCTCCTCCCACCCAAGCCTTTCTCCAGCTTCCCTCTTCACCTTCCTCCAAATGCCACCCTCTCCTACCGGGTATGGTCGTCCTCAATGCATCCACATCTCCCCACCACCCCCGCTCAAATTCCTGCGTGGTGTTGGCAGGCTGGTCCCATTACAAGACCCCACAGTATCCCACTATATCTCCAAACTGCCCCCCACACCCCTTGTTGAGTTCCCTCCCCCTGCAGCATAGATCACCTCTCCCTCCAATCAGACCAGATCTTTTCTTCTATTGGTTGTGCCCTCCTCCAATCCGGAGCTTCCCCATCTTCTGCGGGGAGCCACACTCCCGCTTTATACCGAGTGGTCGCCTCTGCAATTCGAATGGACCCCTCTTGCAAATAACTCCCTCACTCTTAGGCTGCCTCTGCAAACCTCTTTCATCCAGAAAGGCGCAATTCTATCAAGCTGCCTCTCCTCGTCGGACCACCGCTTCCGATCCCTCCTGCACCTCATTAACCCGAGCACTCCTCCTACCGCAAGTCCTTGCCCTATGCGGACCTCCTGCGCTCCTCGACCAGGGTTTCTTTGCGCTTATACGGAAGCCCTTCTCCCTGCCGAGCCCAGGCCCTGTTTCCAGCAGGAACCGCACGCACCCTCGTCGCCCGCACACAGACGCCCACCGCTCAGCCACACGGACCCCCGTCTCTCACCCGAGCTGACCCCATTCCCTACCACAGACCTGTCTCGTGAGCCTTTCGGAGGAGCCAGGCGTCCGCGCGGTCCAGTTCGGACACTGGGGGCGGAGAAGCTCCGGCGCGGGGACCGTGGCCGGGGGCGAAGGACCCTCGGGCGCCCCCACTCCGGGGCCGCTGAGGCGGCAGCTGCGCCCCCCGGAAGTGGACTCGGGCCAGGCGGGCGACCCGAGCCCACCACCAGCCGCCTCCCATGGTTCGCACTACAGCCGCCGCGCGCCGCCCCGCCCCAAGAGCCGCCTGTAGGCTGCAAGACACGTCACTCAGGAGCAGCGGCCCTCCCATTAGGTTTTCGCCCGCCACTCAGGTCCAGTAACCATTGTCCATTGGTCAGAATGGTGATGATTCCTCCTCTGTCATCTATGCCGGTAGTGTGCGTCCCACCTTGCTTTTACCACTCGACTACGAATCCCAGCGATCATTGCGTCGGGGGAGGGCCTCTCTCCAGAAGCCGGCGGCGCGGTGTCTGCTGGGACTTGTGGTTTTAAACATAATCCCAAAGGCGAAAACAAACATCCAGGAGCTTAATGTAGAATCTTTGCAATACTCTAGGGAGTCCAGAGAGTAGAGTAAAACTCCTCAGTAAGCTGACTACCGAGCGATTATACTACTACTATTTTGTATTCCTCTCTAGTCTTTTTATGTAGATGTAAAGTAAGATGCTGTTTGACAATTTTTTTTTCCAGATAACTTTACTGTGAACCTTGAATTGTGGTATCACAAATTTTTCCCATAACATTTAAATTTATAATCTTAAAAACATTGTTTATTTTTGAACATGGTGCTAAATGCAGGGTTCAATGAAAAGTAAACCCCAACCAGTCCCCTAACCAGTTTCCATACCCTGTTTAACACCATCATATTTAATGTTCCTATGGACACATTATAAGAACATACCAGAAGTGATTGATCCGGACGCCACTGTTGGATACCAAGGTTGTTTCCATTTTTTCCCTGCTATAGACATTATGTAGTTTCCTTTAAGTTCTAAGCCTCTGGTTTTAGGAGGGACAGGATTCCACTGGGGGGCTCGGGTTGTAGTGGAGCGCTTGACTAGCTTGTATGAGGCACTGGGTTGGTTCCTCAGCTAGGCCAACGCTTTGCTGCTGAGCTACATCCCAGCCCATGTCAGGTCCATGTACTTAAAGGGAAAAAAAAGAACGAGGCAGATAAAACGTTTAAAAACATCCCACTGGCAAACTTTAGCATCGTGCTTCTGCCACTAGTTGCTCTCTTGGCTTTTTGTACACTCACTACACCATGACATCATTATCTTAATACTTCTCTGGCTGTGAGCTTCCAGTGGATGGGGTACTTAACTGACCCATCTCCATGTCCCCCACCCAACACAGGGGAGGGACTAAGTCAATAATAGCAAACACGTACTGATGGCTTTCTCTGTGCCAGCAATTGTGCTAGGCACATTATGTACATAATGGTTGTTTAGTCCTCACTGCAACCCTAAGAGAAACTGGAATGTTCCCGGTTTTACAGAGGGAAACAGCAAAGCTCAGAGGACTGGGATAATAGAAGCTAATGTTAATTGAGCTCAATGTGTCAATCACTGTTCCACTGCCTTGTATAGAGGACCCTATTAAATCTTCAAAATAGCTTCATGTAATACCATTATTATTCCCATTTTTCAGAGGAGATAGAGGTTAATCACTACCCTTAATCACATAGCTAATTAAACATGTTCAATGCCAAATTACTAGCCACTGTGCCATACCACTTATATGCATTCATGCATTCATTCATTCAACAAGCATTTACTGAGCAGCTGAACATAGGAGCTCATGCCTATAATCCTAGTGACTCAGGAGACTAAGATAGGAGGACCACAAGTTTGAGGCCAGCCTCAGACACTTAGGGAGACCCTGTCTCAAAATAAAAACATAAAAATGGCTGGGGATGTACCTCATTGGTAAAGTGCCCCTAGGCTAAATCACCAGCATCAAACCAACCAACCAACAAATAAACACACACACAAACATACACATACCGCACACACACACACACAAATGTTTAAGTATTTACTGAGCACATGTGGCATAAGTCAGTAAACAAAACAGACAAAATTTTCTGCTCTGAATTTCCCCATTCTGATAAAAGGCATCTACAAAACAGCTACAACTAAGCCAGGCACAGTGTGCTGGCCTGTGATCCAGCACTCTGGAGGCTGAAGCAGGAGGATGGCAAGTTCAAAGCCAGCCCCAGGAACTTGAGGAGGCCTTGAGCAACTTAGTGGGACACTGATTCAAAATAAAAAAAAAACAAGCTGGGTGTGGTGATGAACACCTGTAAAATCCCAGCAAGACCCTGTCTCAAAATTAAAAGGGCTGGGGATGTGGCTCAGTGGTAAAGCAACTCTAGGTTTAATCCCCACTACACCCCCAAAAAATAATAATAAATAGGGCTAAGGTTGTTGCTCGTGGTTAGGCACCCCTTGGTATAAAAAGAAAGAAAAAGAGAAAGGAGAAAGAGGAAGGAAGGAAGGAAGGGAGGGAGGGAGGGAAGGAGGGATGAAGGAAGGAGGTACCAGTCCCCTCCCCAACCCCACCCCAGAGCTGTGAAATGAACCAGAGCTCAGTGTATGCTAGCAAGTGCTGTACCACTGAGCACCTCCTCAGTCCATCAGCCAATAATGGTGAAATATTGACTGCTTTGCCCTAAGATTTAAAAAAGAAAAGAATTCCATTATTTCCACTTCTGATCAACATTGTATTGGAGGTGATAAATAGTGCAACAAGTCAAGAAAAATAAATAAAAGATGTAAAAATCAGGAAAAAGTAAAACTGTCTCTATTTATGCATGATGTGATTAT